AGTCAATACAAATGATATCAAAAGAATATCAGCAGAAGTAATAGCAGAAAACTTCCCAAATATGAGGCAACAATCTGACATTCCTGTAACCGAAGTATATAGAACTCCAAATGATATCAATCCAATGAAAACCACACCCAGACACATAATAATCAAGATCCCAGAAATTCAGCATAGGAACAGTATACTAAAAGCCGTCAAGTTTCGAAAATGACCCTTGTGCAGCTGAGAAAAATGTGTATTCATTTGTGTTTGCGTGGAACACTCTGTATATGTCTACCAAGTCCATTTGTTTCAAGATCTAGTTCAGTTCTGTTATTTCTTTGCTAATCTTTTGTCTGGCTGACCTATGCTTTTGAGATAAGGGATGTTAATGTCTCCTGTTAAGATTGTGGTGTTGGATATTATATTTTTCATGTTCATCAAGATTTGCTTTATGTGGTTTGTGCATAGATAGTTATGAGTGTTACCTGTTTCTTTGTATTTTTCCCCTAATCAGCATATAGTGGTCTTCTTTATTTCACTTGATTGTTCTTGGTTTGAAGTTAGTACCTTGTGAGAATACAATTGCTATGCCTGCTTTTGGTGAGGTGCTGGTGCGTGTAGTATTGTTTTCCATCTTTGACTTTCAGCCTATAAATGTCTTTGTGTGTTAAATATGTTTCTTGTATACAGCATATTGTTGGATTTTGTTTCCTAATCCACTGCGTCAGTCTATTTCTCTTAATTTGTGAATTGAGTCCATTTACATTGATGAGATTTCTGTGTCCAAGTTGAATCATTGAAGACTGTGGTGGCATTCTGTCTCTTCTGGTCTTCAGTATGCAAAAGGCTTTTCCTGAACTGTCATGCAGTGAAGTGGGGATCTGGCTCCCTGCTACAGGAAAACTATCTGTCTGTCTGTCTATCTATCTATCTATCTATCTATCTATCTATCTATCTATCTATCTCCTATTTAGTTATTTTTATATATTTAGTACAGCGTCTTCAAGGTCTCACTGCACAGAACAGACTTGTAGTGATCCTCCTGTTTTCAGCCTGCTAAATGTTGAGATTATCAGCACACTCCATCACTGCCAGTCTCATTTGCAGTATCAGTGAGTTCTGGGGTTGGGGTCGGCACAACATGTTTGGGATCGAATCTGGTCCCTGCACCTGCCTAAGCAGGTGCTTTAGTTGGCTGAGCTATCTGGATGACCCTGCTATATATAAGGCATAGTGAACGACTAGGTGAAGGGCTGCCTCCACCCTGAGTACAGTCCACTCTGACTAATCTGATGCCCTTTGATGCACCCTCTCTGCCTTTGGTTATTAATACTCCCCACTGTCCATGATGCCAATCCAGCCCCCATGGTCCTGATAGCCAAGTCAAGAACTCTGCTGTCTCCATATGGTCTCTTTCCACTGAGGCTGTGACATGTGCTGTGAGTAGTTCTCTCATGGAAGTTCAGTGTTCCAGGACTCCCAGCTACCCCCAGATCAATCCTCGGGTGTCACTCCAGAGTTCCCTAGTGTCTTCCTTGCCAAAGCAGCATTCCTGTCTTGTCATGTTGTACTTGTTAGCTTACCTTATTTCCCATACACTCATCTACACCAGAGGATAGTGTGTTGACCTTCACTGGGCACATTGGCATCCTGCCAACCATCTGGTGGCCTGGCCTGCTGTTTTGGGAATTCTGACAACTGTAGGAGAGACTCTCACCACTCCAGGAGGGTCCATGCATACAGTAGGTGCTTGGCATATTCTCCTCAGCTCATCAGCTCTGATTTGGAGGATTATGTACTATAAATATCATTACATATTGTGGATGATTAGAAAAGTTAAGTCTGGATTTTCATAAACCTCTGATCACTTTTTTTAATGAATCAATGCTGTAACTTTGAGAAGAATAGTATGGTTCATTAGGGCAATCAGGCATAGCTGAAGGTTCTGAAGCATCTGAACATATTGAAGGAATTGTTCAAACCTTGGATTGCTGAAACTGTTACATCCATTGGCCTGTGAAACAGATAACTATGGACAAGAAATTAAAGGCATGTGCTGATTGTTTGAACTAAAGGACATTAGGAAATTCAGTCTAAAAGGTCCAGTTGTTTTCTTTGTGAAGGTAAGATCGACTATAAATTTGTAGCTTTTTTGGTTCTATGCCAGTGACTGGCTTTCAAATATCCTATTTGCTGCACATGGCCACTATGTTAAATAGCAGGATTTATCATGTACAGGTTATCTCAGCTCCATACTGCACATTCTGTATTATCCTAGGAGATGCTTCTTCCACCAGCTGTGCACCTTCCAGGCACTCAGGGATGCTGTCTGTTCCAGTGAACACACTACTGCACCTAGTGGGAGAGCCCACTGAAGTCCAGTTTGGGTCATGGCTCAGCCCACTGGTGCTGCTCCTTTCCTCCATAGACAAGTCTACATGTTCTGTTATCGAGCATGGACTTGAAACCTGTGGAAAAGACCTATCTCCTCATGTGATGTGATGCAATGGCACATGTCCTTGTGATCATATCCCCCCAAATATTATAAATTTACTGTAATCATGAGGGAAAAATCAGACAGATTCCAAGCCAAGGAAACTACAGAATACCTGATCACTATTCCTCAAGACTGTCAAGTTTATATAATATAGGAAATCTGAGAATGTTTCAGTCTAGTGTAGACTGTAAAAATAACCAGATGTGATATGGACAGAAAGGTATTTCCAGACACACAGAAAACACAAATGAGTGATGGAGCTGGTTATAATAATAGATCAGCATTTGGTTCATTGATAGGATTATGCCCCATGAAAGTAAGGTACTAATATTAGGGGCTGCTGGCTGGGGTAGATATAAACACTGTTCTACAAAATGCAGTCTATTTAGAACACAACCCCATCTTTCTGCAAAGATGGCCACATATGACCCTTATTTAAGTATCTTTGGAAGGCATCCTCTAGGGCAGGGACCCAAGGAGAGGGAGTTCTCTGATCCTTCAGTATTTAGCCATACCAGACTTGTAATCCTGGATCTTCAGTGACCTCAGCACCCTGGCCCCATCTTAGCCTGGAGACCATGTCCTACAGGGACACCTGTTTACTTTCAGTTGGGTAATTGCTCCCTGAGAGCCACTCCCAGGGGCAACCAGGATCACAAATCAGAATCCACTCCAAGTGGTGGACTGCTCTTAAAGGTCACCAGTAACAAGGGAGACAAGGAAGAGGAGACAGGCTCTGACTTCTTTGCTGCATCACTAACCTCTGAAATGTGGATATTTTCAGTTTACATGGGATCAGTCAGGACCATTTTCTCCACCACTGTGAGTCACTTTATCCCTTAACCCCTCCTTCCTTTCAGACTACTTGCCATGTCTTTGGGCAGATGTTTCTGAAGAGAGATTTATTTTTACGGTGATTTACTTTAACATGGAAAAAGTGTTACTGAAATCATGTTGCTCCCTTCTTTCACAGTTTCAGTTGGAAACTGCAGACACCCAGGGCCTCCATAGGTTTGCTCTGGGCTCTGCCTGAGATGGTGTTCAGGATGAGCAGATGCCTAGCCTTGTGGTTCAGCCTTTGAAGCAGATCAGATCTTCAAGATAGGCATGGTGGTTTCCTGTGAATCTGGTGCGAGGCGCTGAGCACAGAGCCACCTGCAGACCAAGGAACTATAGTCTGGTGGAGGTTAGAGGCTCAGAAGTTCCATCCAGAAGGGACTGTGGGGACTCATGCTGGCTCAGAATAAATCTTGACCATTTGCTGAAAAGCCATGTATGTAGTGTAGGTGGTGGGCAGGTCCAGCAGGGTGTGGGGATAATACTTGAAGGTTTGTATGTGGCTTAGGTTTTTTGCAATTGAGTAGTTCAGCACTGCTGTCAGAGAGAGGAAGGCTGTCAAATTCCAGATCAGCTCTGTCCTCTAACTTCCAGACAAAACCTCAGTCTCTCTGTAAGTCAGTAATGGCTGTTCAGGTGGGAAGAGACAGGCTTCCTTGTTTAGGACCCATGTTGACATGTGTCTACAAATCACATGAGTGTACAAAGCAGGTTATGGAGCCTCTAGTCTCCTATGACAGATGGGATGGGTGCAGGCACAAGAAGGAATATAGTGTTTTTCACTCCAATGTTTATTGATTTAATTGCTTCTTGGATTGAGCTGACCCCAACCTGCACTAGTGGGCCTGAGTGAACAGAGATGGCGATGGTACAATCATGTGAGCTGGGTGTCAGTGTGTACAGGCTTGGGAGCTAGAAGGTACACTGGCTGGAAGATTTGGGGGCTGGTTTGAGGTTGAGTACAATTCTGTCTTGCTATTCCTAGCTCTTGCATAGCCTGATACCCACTGAGTGACAACCTTCATTTGGGCCAGAGGAAAGGAATGACCTGCTTTCCTCCTCACCCCAGAGGTTTCTGCACTTTAGCTCTCCACCTTCCTTGCTCCATCCTGCATATTGTGTGCACAATGAGCTCTGTGTCTCTAGCTAACATAGGACATGATCCAGATCAAAGTGCATGAAGACTCATGCCACACTTTCTTTAGTTTATGGAGGACTGGTATCTGGCATAAACAATCAGGGTTTGCTGTTGTGGACCATTGTCTCCAAGGCAGAGAGTGGATGCTCAATTTGTCACAGGAACTACATAACTTTCTTAATTATGTGCTTTCTGCAGCAAAGGTGCCTACCACAAATGTAACCAATCTACACAGGGCTCACTGCAAAAGAACAGCCCAAACCTCACCTTGCACTTCATCTAAGAGGCCTGATGATGGCAGGCAGAGATGGAGGGAGTAACCACACAGATGTAGCAGAGTTTGTCCTGCAGACTTTCTCTGGAGACACTCAGCTCCAAGTCTTGCTCTTGACCTTCTTCCTCCTCCTTTATCTCATGGCTCTTTCAGGAAATGCCCTCATCATCATGGTCATCAGCCTGAATCCAGGCCTCCACACACCAATGTACTTCTTCCTCACAAACCTTGCCCTTTTAGACATCGTCTGCACATCTACTGTCCTCCCCAAGCTGCTGGAGGGCCTGGTGGCCAAGGGCAGCACCATCTCCTACAGGGGCTGCATGGCCCAGCTCTTCTTCCTAACATGGTTTCTGGGAGCTGAGCTACTGCTGCTCACAGCCATGGCCTATGACCGCTATGTGGCCATTTGCTGCCCACTGCACTACAGTACAAGGATGAGTCGGTCCGTCTGCATCCTGCTTGCAGGCAGTGTGTGGGCAGTCAGTGCAGTTAGCACATCTGTGCACACAGGCCTGATGGCAAGACTCCATTTCTGTGGTCCCAATCAAATCCGTCACTTTTTGTGTGAAGTCCCCACACTGTTACTGCTGTCCTGCAGCCCAACCACCTTGAACAACATCATGATTGTCATTGCGGATGTTTATTTTGGTGTGGTCAACTTTCTGCTGACTATGGTGTCCTATGGCTTCATCATTACCAGCATCTTGGGCATCCGATCTGTGGAAGGCAAGAAGCGTGCATTCTCTACATGCTCCTCCCACCTGCTTGTGGTTTGCATGTATTACTCCACTGTCATCTACACCTACATCCTCCCAGCTTCTGGCTCATCCCTGGAAAACGGCAAGATAGTTGCCTTGCTGTACACAGCAGTCAGCCCTACTCTGAATCCCCTTATCTACTCTCTGAGGAACAAGGATGTCAAAATAGCCCTCAGGAAAGTATTTCCTTTCATCAAATAAAAGAGAACCCGTGTATTGTTTCAAGTATTAGCCAGTTAATGTAAGCATATGTTTTGGAATCTTGCTTAAGGGAAAGGAATAAGATGCTAATTTATATGGTAGATTTATTAAAAATGTGCTTCCCATGGAGCTACTAGCATTCCATGGCTTGACATTAAGACAGCCCAAGGACTGAGGAGAAATTTTGTGAGGACTGCAGGCAGCAGCTAGCTGGAAGGGCAAGGTCAACAGAGTCCATTCATCTTCCTCTTGTTGGACTTGCCTCCTCCTGTTAACCAGCTTATGTACCCCAGAAGAAGTGCTGAAATTTTTCCCTGTGAGGTGTTAATGTCCACTTCCTATTTCGTGATGGGGGTACATGTTCAGATTGCGTATCAACTCTGCCCATGCCCATGGCCAAGTGCAGCTTCTCTGATATGGATGTTCCTCCATATCCTGCTTTGGAGACAATTGTGTAGGCCCTGATGCAACACACTCCTTTTGAGGTGAACTGGGCGAGAGCACAAGAAACGCAACTCCACACATCATAATGAGTGACCACAGCACCACTAAAGGAAGAGGGAGTGTGCAATGCAGCGTTCCATGCTAATGGCCTGTGGAAAAGATCTTGTTGTTTTAAATTTATTCCTTTCAAGAAAGAGAAGCAGCCTCTCCAAACAGGAAGCCTTGCCACTGCAGTAGAGTGGATTTTGACTCCTTATCTTTTATAGAAACTTCTGTAGCACTATTTTTAGCGATTTCTTTTATTCTCATTTTTCTTCTTATTATTTGTTTTATCCATTGCTTCTGGCTTCTGAATTCTGGCATTCATGGTTTTCTGCAAATCTGTCTTTGTCTGTCTCTACTCTCTTCTTGGCAACAACTAGGCTGTAATAAACTCTGTATTAGTCATCCCTGTTTGCCAATGATATATAAATGTATATCTCTCTTTTTGCTCTTATCTGAATCCTAGCCCATTGCTATAGCTACCCAGATAATGTCCAGCTAGTACAGGACCTGAAAGTCCTCCAGGGTCCTCACCCAGCAGATATAAACTCCATGTCCACCTTTCAGATTTGTCTAGTTGCAAAACATCATTGAATTCTTTCCTAGCTGCTGCAGCCAACACACCCCAAAGCCTGTCCATTCTGCCCAAATGCCTGTTAGGTCTGACTCTCTTCCCATTTCTCAATATCTTCCTCACACCTCACTGGATACCTTAATAACTTCTACCCAGTCTCCTACATCTAATCTTGAGATGCGTTTTGTGCCCTACATCTAGGGCCATAATTTTCCTAATATGTTATAATGAAAAGTTTTAAAAATATAGCAAAGCTGGCAGGACTTTGCAGGGGACATCCCTAAATCTATCATGTACAATCTATATCTTTATTTTTATATTTGATTCACTACTTATTTATTAATATTTATATCCATTGGCTTATCATATTTTGTACATTTCAAAGAAAACTGTAAATATCAATTAACTTCTTTGTTATTATTTTATTTTGATTTTTAAAAAATAAATGTTACACTTTTATATCATTATCAGAACAACCAATTTGAAGATAAGATCATGTAATACAGCAACCATTGTTGAATTCCTATTACTTTGTTTATTTTTTAATTTTTTTATGAGCAGAATATATTTATTGAGAGAAAGAAAGCTCCTGTCCAAGAAAGGGACAGGAGGGGGGCCCAAGCGGGTAGTTCTGCCCTATTAATTTGTTTAGTGAAATCTTGTATTGCTTCTAACCCTGTTTTTTTTTCTATCACTATTTTGTGTTCTTTAAAATAAATAACTCTGGGTATCATTATAGTTCCACTTTTGTACATAGCTTTATTTTGTCAATTAAGGTTAAAATTTTCAAACAATGAAATCATAAATAAGGATGTACAATTGTTAAGTTTTGACAAACGCACACATCTGTGTACTTTAATCCATGTCAGATATGAGATGTGGCCTTCACCTCAGAAAGTCTCACTCAAGCTTATATTGCTTGATCAATTTTTCATGCTTATATATTTCACTCTAAGCAACTACTAGGAAGATAACAAAAAGCGATGTACTAATTATTGTCAGTCTCTTACTATCTTGGTTTGAAATTTTATGTATTTATTTTATTGTTTTTTTCTTTAAAATAAAATAAACAGAAAGCCTCTTGGTGACTTCTCAACATGACCCTGACCCACTTACTGTTGAGGTAGTAAATTTTTTTTGCCATAGGTGAACTTTATGCTGAAGAATAACACAGCTTGAGTTCTTTTGCATTAGGCCTCTTTCATCACAATAGCTTTATTATTTTTATTTTACCATTTAAATGAACTATTTTTC